AGTTTCCCTGGTCACCTGGCATCGGGTAGGAAACAGGGAACAGCTTCAGAAGAACAGAAGTGTCTATTAACTTTTAATATCCTAACATTTTAATATCCTAACTGAAGAAGTGCTGGTCTCTTGTTGAGACAAGAGGGGAAGACTTTCAAGATAACGAGCATTGACTCTCTCAGTTTTTGAATGACATTCAGGAATCTCCATCAACAACAGACTAGTGCCATCAGACACCTTCCTCAGAAAAAAATCCTGATTTTATACTCAATATATTCACCAATTACAGACGTTTGTTATATTTAATGGGCTAGTTTTTTCCATGCCAATAAAAATAACAGACTAGTATGGACATGTGAACTTGCAAAAACGGAATCTGTCATGCCTGCTTCACATTTTTCACTATGGAACCATGGAGCTAATTCTTGTCAGATGTTCCTTTGAACACATTGCCTTAGCCACACTATTTCCACAAATCACACCGAATCCACTTTAAATGCATCCCTGTTACTACTTCCATGGAAGATAAAGGGGACTAAAACACTAGGAAACCACCTTCCCTATCCATAAGCAAAAAATATGCAAGATTATAGGGAGACACTCAGAGCCACCTTCATCATTTCACCTTTCTCTTCTACTTGTGTATCTTCCTCCTATCAAAATCTTTGAACGATAGATGTATTTCATTATAAAAGTTACAGACATCCTCACAAATCTATAATAAAAAACTATTAAAATGGAGGTTAAAACAAAATCTACATTTCCAGTAGACATGAAAAATAGATGCTTATAATGATATTTTAAGTATAGTTTAGCACAACCCTATAGAAGTAATTTATCAGTAAGCTCAAAATACCTTTACAGTTTCACAGTAATTTTTATACAGCGTGCATATCCAGAAGATACATGTGTATATTTATAATAAAGGTACGGATACTAACCTGCCAAGGTCGATCCCAATCGAGAGGAATAGGAAATGCTCCAAACCAGGCCCCTAGAACGCTGCACACTGTCGTAATCTGAAGATTGTTATCCCAGATGGACATGGCTCTGTAAGAAGAGTATGTTACAGTATTTCAACAGCAGCAAAAGTCACCGCATGAGAATATCTGATCTATTGTTTCTAGCAAGTGAGACTACAAACAGATGCAAATGCATTTGATAAAGAAGATGCAGATTTCTCCCAAAAGATACAAAAATGGACAAATAGTTCTTACCTTTCAACTCAAAGCACCTACAATTCTCATGTACATATTTGCTTCACTGCTTTCCAAAGAGGCTTTGGGAAGAAGAATGAGTCACTTTCCACTTGTGTCATCTTAAAACCCCAAGCACAGAGGAACAGCTTGCCATCTCTGCAGCACTCTTAATCCCTGACAAATATGGTGTTAGGCATGAAACTTTGGGTTTCAGCAGGCAAACCTAGCACAGAAGTTTGCACTTTGCAGTTATTAATGTTCAAACTGCTAGTGCTAATACCTCTACTAACAATATGGTCAATACTAAGTGTAAATTCAAGACAGAGGCAAACACTCAAACTATCACTTACAGGTGCCCACTGATCTCTTTAGATTAAGGCATCAAGTATGTTTTCTGAAACATTTTATTTTTGCCACAATAAGCTTGCTTTTTATGTGATAATATCTCTATATGTTAGTTTTTGAAATCAGCCTGAGGAATACTTCTGTAAGCCAGGCAAATGCTAACAGATGCCACTTATCTTCCCATTAGGATTACACTTGGTGCTGCAAGGCCCTAAAAGTTTCTGCTGTGTTGAGCCCAACTCAAATCTGAACCTGGAGCTTGACCTCCATGCTGTGAGGGCAAATTGCTTATGGTGAGCCCTAAACTGTACTATAGCCCTGCAGCTCAATGAGCTGCCCTCACTTTTGTTGCTCCTAAGTGGTCAGCCTGTTCTAGCCTCTGTCCCTTTATCCCACACTCCCACTGCCCAAGGTCATGGCCTTCCCCAGTCCAACAACTGATCCGGCCACTCTGTAACAGGCTCTGTGAAATGTTCCCTGCCAAAAGCCACCACTGTCCCAGTATAACATGAAGGGGGATTCATTCTGCGAATAATTAACCTTTTCCTTAAAAAGGAAAAAAAAAGAATCTTTTCAGAATAATGCTACTCACTGAGCATGTGAGAGTTGTTTTGTCCCCTACCAGTTACTGTATCATTCAGAGCAGGTTCCATAACATCCTCAATCAAAAGCAGCCTTGGGCACTGTACAAAGTTCCAAGTACGGAGCAGATGATGCAGGAGTTTCTCACTGCCAGGAGTTGCAACCAGCATTGACATTAGGCATTACAGTTTGGTAGCCAAATTGGAGAAAGGATTACACACTACAAGCAATTTTGAGAAAAGATGTCTTGGAGCAACCAATGCCCCACGGCTGTGGCAGATGCATAGATGCTTTAGCTCTATTTAGTCTAGAGAAATTGGCAGTATTTGGAGCTTTCTGTGCAATTTTAAACGCCACTTCGCATATAGCACACCTCTTAAATATTTTTGTTAGTCATGGCTAACAACAGGGTGAAGATCAACACACTTTCTCCATTTATTCCTATCTACATTCAAGGGTTAGATGAAGTTTATCCTGCTGAGAGCCTCAGAGTGGAAGGCTTGCTTTATCTAGCTGGCATAACAGGCAGAACTAACAGGATGCTTAAACAGGATTTAACACTAAATTAAATTATCTTATGGGATTTGCATGCCCACAAAAAGTTTATAATCACAGAACATACTTCCTCCCTCCCACCTCCCTGCCCTGCCTTTCCCTTTAAAGTAGGGGAATTTCCAGGTTGACCGTGTGGCAGATGTAATGGCTGGAAAGGTTTGGCAGTCTTCAGATGCTCTCTCTAGGACACACCAAAACACAGTATGTTCTGTCCAGCCTTGGCCCTGTCCTAACGAGCCCTGCCCTAACGAACAGAGCTCCACGGGTGGTGCAAAAAAGGAAGTATAGGCATCAGGCAGCTCCAACAACACAACGCACCATGAGGATGCTGCCTAGAAATACAAAAACAGCCCATGGAGAACCCAGCACACGGGGTCAGATTCCAAAACAGAAGGGTTGAACAGGCTGAATTTCACAAAATATTTGGGAGATGAAGGAGACAAAAGCAAAGTGTATTGTAACACCACAACAGATGACAGTTTTGAGGTTTTCTTGTTTGGGGCATCCTTGAGAGCTTCGATCTCCTATTAGTGGTTCTAATCAGTTCATACACAGCACTGCAGTTCCCCCTATAGAAACAACTCCTAATAAATATGCAAACCATCACAGCAACACACAAATGTTAAACAATGATACAGCCTTATGACCCTAGCACTGCAGCACTAATATCTTCCTTATGTTATTGATATAAGGATACATGAGCTATATACAAAATGTATATCACATTTTAGCTACAGTCACAGTCTTTCTATACCACATATTCATGAGATTTTTTTCCTCTTAAGAAGTTTTCTGTAAAAACTAATTTAATCTGGAAATTCTCCTATCGACCTTTGGTGCTGTTGGGCTGAGCGAGTTAAAATAAAGACAGGGAGAAAAAAACAAAACAAATGATTGCAGAAAAAAAGGTACAAGCACAACTGCAAAGGGTATAGATATCTTGCTATTCATTTGATGACTACAACACCTTGGAATTTAAAAGCTGCAAAGGGTATAGATATCTTGCTATTAATGACTACAACACCTTGGAATTTAAAATAAAAATTCACTATGTAAATATTTCAAAACAAATGTTCATTACCTGAAAATACTGAAGAGTAAAAGCAGTCTGCATATTGCAGCTCTTCAACAATTTTACCTTTCACAGAAGGCCTCAAGGTTAAAGCTCCAAGTTCAGCTATACTGGTTGAAGGCCGACTTTACTGCACATTGAAAAACTCCTCTGCACAAGCAATCATGGCACAGACTGGATCACCGCAGGTATTGATGACTACAGTCCTCAGTTCCAACCTCCAGCCATTTCCCAAATTTTGAACAATTGGGTTTCTGTTTTATCGTGCCTGAAGCACTTATTTTTGCATCACTGCTCTAGCAAGTGATTCTTTTGCTATCAGGGGTCATAAGTACTGCAGTACTTTGTACCAGCTAAGAAACAGGAAAGAGATGTTCAGCAGATAGTAAAGCATTACACAGAGACAGGAGGCCTGGATTCAAGCCCCTGCTCCAAATGGGAAAGAGATCTGGATGCAAGTTTGTCACCTCTTGGATGATGAGCAAACCTTGCTTTAGACCAGAGAAGAAAGATTGGCATTTTAGGAGGAGGATACTAGACAGATAGCAAACCCTAAAGCTCACAGATTCTGGTTAGGCTGCATGGCTGCCTTTTCTGGTTAGGCTGCACACATACTGCTGCATCGTATTGAGATATAAACTTGGGTTCAAAAGCCAAATGACAGCATTAGCAAGGCACAGTGCCCGAGCCAAGAAGGAAAGTCATGGGTAGTTTAAAGAACAACAGTTTGAGCTGCTAATTCATCCACCCTGCAGCATCAACAATGGCTGCCTGAATAAGGCCTTGCTTGTCTTCCAAGCGTCTCCACAGCAGAGTGGTAACACCAATTTGCTTATTCTTCTCAGCATGGAATGGCACCGACCAGGGCACCTGCAGGTATTCATTAACCTACTACAAAAATCCCTCGGTTGCATGAGGCTAACAGCAGCAGCAACACACACATGTATATATATTCAAATATGAATGTTTTTTAAAGCAAATCTAGCGATATTTTAAGATTATTGGGCACGGGTAACACAAAAGCCTTTTACAGCCCACAGTAATTATTTTAATCTGTTAAATAACACAATACTTTAAGTGCTATTTTAAATAATGCTTGCAGTAAGAGATTAGTTAACGCTTCACATTTATCAAGATAGCCCTTGGGTAGATAAGGCCCCCAAATTCTGCACTATGGCAGCACTGAAATACGAGGCTGCCCAGCACTTCGGTGACGTGCGCCTCTGCAAAGGCCATTTCCAAGTCTGTAAAAGCAGGCAGTGCACAAGGAATGAAATAGGAGGACACAAGGAGAGATAGGAATGAAACCTGGAGACAGCCCTAAAGCTACGGTGTTGTACTATGTCTTGAGGAGCTCCAAACACTATATATTGCCTACTCAGGCCTGACAGTTTATTGGTGACATCTAACAATTGCTCTCGTGTCAGAAATTTCAACACAATTACCCCAACTAGTGGCTTGAATTGAACAGTCCCCAGAAGAAGCAATCGCAAGCTGATTGCTAAAGGCTTTTATGCAGAATGCTATTTTAGCTGACAATTACTCAGGAGCTCCTGCTCCCATTAGTACCAGCAACCATTTTGATAGCTTTTACTTCCCATTATCTGCTCGCAGAGGCGCACAATCACCTGGGATCAGAGTCATGACCCTGGCCACAATGCTGGATGTCAGAGCGTGCTGCATCCAGAAGCAGCTGGACAGGACCTACCTAATCCGAAATGCAGGACTGGCGAGTGGGGAAGGAGGGAAGGTGAAGCTCTGTTTACATCTTACTTAAAATTGGACTGAAATTATTGTTACAGAGCATACAAGAGCTCACTTTTCTCTCACACATTTCACATGTACATAGACTGTAAAGACTAAGGTAAGAACTAGCTGTTTGAAATCCTTAAAACAAAAGTACTTGAAAAAAAAATCTGGTCCATCAAATCAATGTTTCCAATTCGGAAGTGCACTCAGTTTGATAGCAAGAAGCACATGCAATTTTCTGTCTGAACTACAACCAGATTTCATGCAATTGTTTCATGTATTCGAAATGAAGCAAAAAAGCCTCAACATCACCAAACTCCTACAAGGCAGATAAAAAGCCTGCAGTGCCACAGAATACACGTTATCATGAGACTAATCGCCTTTCTAGAGCAAAGGGGCCTTCGAGACTGACTTTGTAATAATGTGAATTGATTTTACCAGCAGTGACTGATTTCAAAAGCTACAAATGAAGACAGAAGCATCTGAAAAGAAAAAGCTCTTTGCAGGAACATCCCCAAAATATTTATGCAAAGTTGTCTCAGCTACACCTTAGCCAGGATGATGCAATGGATTATACGCACTAAGGCACTGCAATGCAACTTTGAATAGTCTTGGGAGAAGATATTATGCACACAGTGTTTCCATCCTAGACCACCTTAAAAACGGCAAAAAAATTTAAAAAAGATACAAAGAAAGAGATGGATAATATTAACATCTTTCACCTTTTATATCCTTTATATACTAAATTTCTTTTTCTGCTTTTCTTAGGAACAAAAACACACGTTGATCTTATGAAGACCACATGGATAAATAAGATAAATAACAAATAACAAAAATAAACTCTGATCTGATAATTAATCTAAGCTTGTTCTGATTTTTTTTTTAAACAAAGTCCTTTTTTGCTCCAAGCTATACTCTCAGACAGACTTTCCAATTTGCAGCCCCTGTGCAATTCAGCTCATCAAACTCTTCTTCCTAAGCAAACAGGCTCCCTGATCTTACCCTTACATGGTGAAGTGCGGGGACATGACCTAGGAATAAGTCATGCCTACACTCCACGCATGCCCAACTCCACCTCGTTTATACAGTCAAACAAAGAACTATAGAATTATTTTTAAAAGAGCAGTCTACTACTGCATAAAGAAATCCTACAGTATTTACTTCTAGACTACTTTCATACAGAGGCTTGCAAACATCACTATATTAAATAAGCATTTCATTCAGACAATATTGCATGTCTCACTAGGATGTAAGTGGTATGTGCAAGCCGTCACTGAAAAAGAAAACTCCTGTTTCCTACGCAATAATTATGTAGAAGTAACACTGAGGGAAGAAATAAACTGACATATATTAAAAATCTAACCTGGCACAAAGGAAGACTGCTGTCAAACATTGCTTACTTAAATGCACCTATTATTTCCAGATGCAAAATTCCAGACATGACCAAGTGAATCACCCATAATTTGTTCTGGCTAAAAGACTCCATGTTGTTCATAAATTCTCACAAATTGTCATTTCTATTACTCTGCTCACTGAAAATAAAAACTTGGTATAACTGACTTGAGTCAGGATTTAAGATATTTTTCAGGAAGCTGAAAACTAATATACTACAAAAGCCAATACATTAAACTACACATAGTAAAAAAACCTACTGCTGGCTATGTCTACACAAGTTTAAATCAAACGTAACTCCTTATGTCAGTGGGGTTATACAACTTTAACTTTTGTTTGAGATTAGACTTCACTCTTAGGGCACTTTACAAAGGCATTAACACCAACATATTATTAGAACCACAAGCATATGGGGAGCTTTTTGGTTTTTTCTTCAGAGTTCCAATCTGGACACTAGAAATAAAAAGCCAGTTTTCCGATCAGTAACATCTTCAAGATAGTTAAGAGTTTTCTTTGCCAAAAAAAACTTTCACGATCCCTTAATTATGGGTATGAAAATAAGTTATAATTCAGGATGTTTTATTTGCTTTACAAGAAACTCCATGATATATTGTTTATGATAAGTCCATTCCATCTATTTCTTCCATGGATAGTAATAGAGAAAAATTAAAATAGAACTTACCCATTTTTACTAAATACCCGTATCCACGCTTGAATGTTTGGTCCCAGCATACACAAGCATTGTAAAGTAGTAAAGGTAGATAGGAGAACTGCAAACAAAAATGTCTCAGTCACTGACCTACAAAGAAGGAATGCAACAAAATCAACTCAAGTAGAATTGCTACATTTCTAAGAGTTTCAAGAATTAAGAAAAAGACTCTAAAACAACTTGAAAACATGCATTCTTTCTTAAATTTGTCTAAGGAAAAATAAAGTTTTTTTCTTCTTACTGTGTAGAAGAGAAAAGAAAGATGGAAAGAATTCTAACATACATTCCTTATCCCAACAAAACCTGAAATGTATTAGCTTACTTTAAATGTCCAATACCTGTAACATTTTAACAATCACAGCAATACCCCACATGTAAAGTTATTTTCCAGTTGAAGTAGATTTGGATATTTACTCTATTATTCCATTTATATTTCTAGTTTGACTTATTGGAAACAACCATGAAACCAAGCCACATGTCATCACCACTATTCTGAAAATTAAAATCACTTGAGATGTGAAATAGACTTTTTTTTTTAAAAAAAACCACCCCTATAGATTAAAAGACTAATAAGAAAAGGGTGAAAGATATGAGATATGTACATTCTAGAGTCTTAATGGAAAAATGACTAATTGAAACTCAGAAAACGTTTGTAACAATGTATATGACATACAAGTGTCAAGTATGCCTATACCTGCACATCTCCAACTAGATAAAATTGCAAGAGCCAGTTTCTGTAAGACACTGCCACCACTTCTCCCCCAGCCAGCAGGTTATCATTTAATTCCCAATTATTAAGTACTTATACCAATATTTGCAAGAACTGCCCCTTAAAGTGCTTAGAGAAAGAAAGGTTCTTCCAACTTACTCTATGAGAGGTGCTCCATAAAGAACAACAATCACATGAAACAGTATGCAAGATATGCAAAAGTACATACAGCATTTTAGAAATCTGGATATCTAAAAAAGAGCAACAAAATATCAGAACAACATTTCAAAATAAAAATGAGCAATGAACTACGTATATAGTCAATATCCTAACAGTGGCATCTCACTCTGCCTACTTCCTTAGACAGTTAATTTCAACTGCTGCACAGTACGATTATACCTTGGTGTGTTTTCCGACAACTTTCCTCATGTTTAGTAATTAAAAACATTGATTAAAGACATGATTACAATCTGATCTAAAAATCTTCTCATTATCATGCTATTATAATCCATCCATACAAAAAGCAATTGGAAACAACAGAATAAACAGAAAAAGCGTCTTGCATATTTTTGTTTGTTTTACATTTCAGCTTTATATCTATTTGTTTCACAGAATATGCAAACGCAGCTTTCACAGCTCTCACAGAATATGCAAAACTATTTATAAAGAAGAAAGTATGTAATATGTATATATAAAAGATTTTAAGAATCAAATGCAATACTTAAAACTACATAAAATAAAACACACTGCATTTTTAAACTGTCAAGTCTAAATCTACCCGAGAAATGTCTGTCTATGACTTTCTAAAGTTACAAAATGCATTTAGTTTTCCAGGATTTAAACAAGAGTTTCTGGATATCCATTACACCATACAGAAACACAGTCACTTGGTAAGCTCTTCACCAATAAAAACTCATACTTTGTAGCTGTACTCACCCTTGGGATGAAATCTCACCTAAAACCTGAAGCCTGCTTTGTGTTTTTAACAAACACATGGTTAAAATGCTTGTTGTCCACAGTGATTCCATATACTTCATGTCCCCCCTCAGTCAGCAAGACTAGATACAAAGTTACTGCTGTCAAGGACGGAGCCTTCATTTACATAACTTTCTAATAATTATTTAAGAGTGTTAAGTTTTGCCTGATTCAGCACATAGGATGCACAAACTGGCCAGCTCTCTGCTGACTGCAGCCGTGTCCCACCACTCCTGGAGCAGTCGAGTGCTTCTCCAGATCTGCTCTGTTCACAAGTATTTTACTGGAACTCCCACCTTTATTGCTTCTGTTCAAATAGCAACAATTACAGGCTTAAAGCCTTCTCTGGGCAGATTTAGCTGTTCAAGAATATGCAAGCATTTCGAGCTCTTTCACAACATCCTTTAAAATTGCTTTGTTTTAAACAAGCGTGGTTTAAATCTTAGTGAGTCTTTTGTTTTCTATTTGACCACCAACAGCTTTTCAAAGAGTGCTTTTCTTCTTTTAGCTATTAATAACTTCTAACCACTCAGACGAAAAAGCGTCTCATTTTGTAACAGGGGGCTTCAGGCTCTTGAGGTGACGCCTGCAACCCCTCCGATTTGCCCCGATTTTTGGCAGCACATTAACTGCCGGGGGATCAGGGACTAAGACTACAAGCCACAGAGCATGACACGGAAAAGGAAAGGCAAGGAATCGCTCACTTGTGGAGATTATTCATGGGTAGAAAATAAATACATGGGCAATGTTGAAAACCTCACTTCCCAGTTCATTCATGGAAAGCAAGATTTCCCCACCAAAAAATATAAGTCGTTTTCTCTTCTACATTTGATTCTCCCAGTAAGAGAGTCCAGCTCTGCCGGCGGCTGGCAGCAGTGCACGGCCGAACACCTACCTTGTGGGCGAGGGAGCTCCTCCGGTGAGGCGGGCTCGGCCGGAGCGCCGCGCACAGCACGACGCTGAAGGCGCCGACGGACGCGGAGCAGATGCAGAGCCAGGTGAGCGGCGTCCCCAGCACCGAGAAGCTCTCGAGGAAGAAGCGCGGCG